TTCCATCTTTTCATAAATATCCATTTAGAAATTGTGATGACGAGGCAAAATGTTTTGAAATTAGATTATAAAGTAATCAATAAAGTTTGAACAGTCTCCCTTTATTCATATTGAAAAGATCAAAGTAGCCAAATGCTGACATTCCTTAGTAATCTTTTGTTGCTAATCTAGGTAATAAAATAGTAAGTAAAAGGAAATTATTACATACTTAGTTGTATAATAAAGACAGGTAAATCTTGGTTTATTTATAAACATACAGTGTGAGCAATTTCAGTTAACACATTGTTGTTACAAATCCAGTGCACAAGTATTGACAAGATATTTTTTATATGGTATCTTTTCTTTTTGTATCAAGTAATTAAAAAGTATGTTAATTGCAAAAGTCAAAATCTGAAAGAAAAAAAAACAAAAATTATTATTTTCGGAAAACATCAGCATAGTTACACTGCAACCCCATCTAGTTGACTCTCTGCAAATGCCAAAGCAATGTAAAATTGTAAAATTGTATGGTTTGAGATCCACAATCAGTGTTCTAAGAATGCTTTAAACTTTCATCCATGCATATGATGTTTAGCGCATTAAAGATGCATCTTTTCATGCACATTAAGTAAGGTATTTCATTATCGATGATTTTTAGTGCCACTTTCTCTAAATGAAAAGTTGCTCTTGATTATCTATTTGATTTAAATTTATAATAAAGAATCACGTAAAGATGGCAGCACTTGTAGCTGTTATTAGTACATTTTCACGAGACTCATAAAATTTGTTCCTCAATATTGGTCTAAGATGAAGGTACAAATTATTGCCTATGGCTAGCTGATGGAGATGTTGATAGCACCTGGCTAGGTAATAACTTGTTTGTATGTAACGGTTTACCTGGACGTGAGTCATACCATCCTTTGTTTAGGGTTATACCTTACTATGTGGGATAAGTTAATCTGCTTCATAAAGTTCTGTCAACCTGAAATTGATTTGATTACCTGGATGTAGATCGATTGTAATTATATATGACATCTATTGTTTTTTGTGGAGATGATTTATTTTGATGAAATGATGTGGGATATTTAAAAGTTGAGATAAAGATTGCTGTGAGAAAAAAAGAATAGTCAGGTCACTCTTGCATTATGTCTTTGCTATGAAGGAAGTTTGAGAAATATTGGATTTGTTATTGGGGAATTCTTTATGACTTGTTAGAAAACAAAAGTATTAAAACATGCAACAATTATTTAAGAAAAAGGGATGAAGGAAAGATGGCCATGTGAAAAATCACTATAAGTTTGGAACATAAGATTTTGAAAAAATGTTAGTTATAGAACATTTATATCAGTATTTGTTGAGTGATAGAAAATGCTCACAGGCAATGATATAAAAAACATATGACTTTACAATAAATGTGTCCATTTGTGTTTTATTGTCTTTACCAGTTATACATGTAGATAGAGAGGGGATCTTGGTCAAGAAATTATTATACTCTGACAAGTGACCAGTAGACTATGATATCTAAATATTTTGTAATAGATATGATTGTTTTGATTCAGTGATCCCTAACTGACCATCTGATATGGACTTAATTTATTAATCACCTGTGTTATTGTAAAGGATTAGAATTAGTGTTTTATTTGAACATTTATCATTCAGGAGAAAATAGTTATTCTGACCAACGATCATCAGATTTACTTCTTTATAAAGTTTAAATACAAATTCTATAACAGGTCTGCACCGTTAACTCTATAATCTGTCGATCATTGACCATTGTGTATTGGGATATTCAATAAATACCTGATTTATAGTTGGATCATAACGGAAATCAACAAATTCAGGAATTTTAATTTAACAGATATACTTTGTTTGTACTGTGCTTCCTGTTAAGAGATTTGTCCGAACAGAACGGGTTCAGGGAAAACACGGCATTGCTTAATAATCTCCAGATGACAGTTTGAAGTTTTAGCTTATGAAATTACATTGGAATAATGTTGCATAGCCTAGCTGGATTTTTACTGAACGTTTTTCCCTTCATCATTTCTCTGAAACTGATTTCTGCAATGGATACTCGCTGAAAACAAAGACCTATGTATATTTAATATCAAAGGAATTTGTAGTATTGAAATTCAATAATAAAATTGAATTAAAATATTTATAAAGTTGAAAGCATTGAAAATCAATTGTGGATTATATTGTTTAGTAGTCCATCCATGTCATGGGTGTGGGTGTTGATTTAAACATTTGTGATTAATACATAAACATAAACGTTGATTAATTTCAATTTTAATTAAAAACTTGAATGGAATGTTGTGATATGTTTTTATGGATTGTGCATGGAAAGAATCTCTCTTTAGTACTAACAAATTGTATACTATTGAATGAGGATTATACTTCTGATTAATAATTATTGGATGAATAAGATATGGATGTTATATGATGACAATTGGTATGCTAAAGTTCACAGAATATGGAATATACTTCTTATTGAAAGTTATTGTGCACAGCACTTTGTAATTTGGAATTGTATGAAATATGGATGTTGAAAAGTTTTATATTGTGATCTTTGACCTAAAGCTTTTTCTCTAAGAATTCAATAACTATAAAATATTTTTGGAAAATGATTATGCTTGCCAATGAAAACAGTGCACTGTGGAACAGACCTAAGAAAGTACATTTTGCCTTATTCCCTTATGTTGTTGAAATACCTTCAAGATCTGAGATTGAAAATGTTGAATATGAGAATGATACTGAATACCTTTCAGATGTTGAAATGGATGAATATATTGGTAATGATTGTTCTATCTTGTGATTTAAAAAAAAATATAGTAGAGGTTTGTTGAATGATTATCTCAATGGTCAGATTTTATATCAAGAAAATATTCTGTCTTGCCCTGTCAAGTTAGGCATTGAATTTATTTTAGATTTTAAGAACTTCAAGTTTAACTTTCACTGGTTAAGAAAGTCACATAAAAATACAATTATACAATTATATTTAGAAATTTAAAATGAAATTATAACCTTAGAACAATGCAATTGCTATTTACTCATGTTACTGTTTTCAAATAAAAGTTTAAATTCTCTTGAGGATTAATTTGAATCAGTTTGGTTGAAAAGATAAAAGTGAGATGGAATTATAATATATTTATTAAACAGCCTAGGATTTATAAATGAACTTTCTGTAGTATTCACAACAAAGAGGGTTGGGGATGGCTAGATTATTAGTTTGGGAATAGAGGGCACATAATAGTGTAGATTCCAATATACTGAGCTATAGTATATCACTATAATATAATGTATTATGTTCATCTGGTTATCAATTATTATTCAATTATACCTTTATATACATGTACATATATATCTTAAAATGAAAAGAAAAAAAGGTTTCAATAATATATAACATCCCTAAGATTCATACTTAAAAATAACATATTTCAAAAGAAAAAAAAAAGCTTTCATATAAAGATAAGGGATGTGGAATAATTGCCAATGAGACACCCAGAGACCCAAGGATGAGGAATAATTATCAACGAGACACCCTGAGACCAAAGTATGTGGAATAATGTGGAATAATTGTTAATGAGACATCCAGAGACCAAAGTATGTGGAATAATTGCCAATGAAACATCAAGAGACCAAAGTGTGTGGAATAATTGCCAATGAAACATCAAGAGACCAAAGTGTGTGGAATAATTGCCTATGAAACATCAAGAGACCAAAGTGTGTGGAATAATTGCCAATGAGACATCCAGAAAAAGCAAAGAATGTGGAATAATTGCCAATGAGGCATTTAGACTACAAAGAATATGGAATAATTGCCAATGAGACATCCAGAGACAAAAGGATGAGAATGTAAATCCATGTGTCAGAACTGAATTAATCAAACTTGAATATTTTCTTGAAGATATATTGTTGATTTCATTAAATTTTTTTGAATATTTGATATCTATTGAAATAAGGATTGCTTATATAAAACACAAATTCCTTTACCATCAAATTTTAATCAAGTTTTACTTACAATTTTTATGATTTCTGCCTTTTACAATAGCTCTCACATAGACCCTGTTTACACTTGTAAAAATATCGATCTTTTCTGAGAATAGGCTGAGATCGATCTAAAAGGATCGATCTTTAGTCTAATGTAAACAGGAAAGATCGATCTTCAATCTGACTTAAAAAGTTCCCCTCCAGAGGTGGTTTTAAAAAGATCAATCTTTCTTCAAGTGACTGTTATATTAAGATATGAAAATAAATCTGTGCATGTTCGGCAGCAAAAACACACGATGTTTAAAAACGATGGATAGGATAGGAAAAATCAAAATAGATTCTGCCGTATTTGCATCATCCATTTGAATCAATAAATTCTGTTTCTTTGCTGCAAGTCCTCATCTTCAAACTCATTGACAGTTCGTGTTTAAGTGATGTAAGAAGACTTTCTTACATTTCATTGTTTAATGACTTTTGGCTTGTGAACCAAAAAGATAATTGATAACTGCATGCGAAATTCCAATGATCCAATTATTTTCTCCATAATTTTGCAGTGTGTGATAGTCCGCGCGAAATATACACGTTATTATTCTATTCCATTTTTACTATTATTTGTTTAAGAAATGTAAAGTAATCAGGTCAGATTCTTTTTATGTTGCAGTGTAAACGCACTAGATTAGATAAGATCGATCTTGATTGTGCAAATGTAAAAACGAACTGGTCTTTTTAAGATCAAATAAAGATTGGTTCCATTTTGTACAAGTGTAAACAGGGTCTCAAATCAAAATAAAACTAGTAAGTTACAAGAAGATATGTTTAAGAATTGCAGCATTTTTACTCTTACTGATGTGGCGAAGCTCCTGATTGCAGATTAAGAAATATCATTGATTTGTAGTTTAGAAAGATGAGAAAGTCAAAAGAAATTTAGATTTAATATCTCAGGTGTTAGTAAAATTCAAGAATAGGTGAAAAAAATCTTTGTAGAAAAATATGATTTTATGTTTTGTATTGGAATTAACTTGAACCTTTTACAGCGAGACAGAAAAGTAGTACCAGTCATTCAACCTCCAGTCGACGACCGAGGACTTCAGGCGCATCACAATCTCAACGTAAGTAATGGAACACACAGACATGTTGTGACGGTCTTGGAAAGTTTTTATAGATTTGATCGTTAGACATATTACATAATAACATGTGTTGACTGAGGACTTTGTTTTGAGTTGTGTCCCTTTGGTGTCAGATAACAACTTGATTGGTCCTGATCTAACAAGAGAATTAGTCTGTAGTTTGTACCTTACAAAGCATGACATTTCTACAACTTGTGTTACTGTGTTACTCATCGTTGATAGTAATACAGGGACACTTAGAGAGAAAAATATTTAAAAGATAAGTGCACAATAGCATGTGGCTCAGTATATTTTTTTCCATTGATTTAATTTTATTATGTTATCTTCCCCTTTTATATTAAAAAATGCACTGGGGCATGATGATTTTAATTGTGATGTTCATTATGAAAATGACAATAGTTTTCATTCTTAGAGAATTAAGTGTGGAAGATTTAGAAAATTATGAAATATTTTGTAAATGAAATGTTTAGAAAGTTATTACTTGTTTCTATTCTTTCTTTCCTTTAAGTTTGCCTGTTGTGCTTATAACATGTTTGTTGTTATTGTGCACTGCTTTGTGTGTTTATTTGTAGATACTGAACAACTGTTTTTATAGTTTTTAGCATAGATTTAGGCCAAAATTGAAAAAAAAAAATATTTGTGTTTAGGGTTTTCTGTTCAGGGTTTCTCTACCTGACATATTTTTTATGCCTCAAAATTCAAAATCTTAAAAGTCTACTTGCTTTTTGTTAGTGAATCATGATAAAACTGCAGAGGGTCCCCAAATACGCAAGGTAAAAACAATTTAAAAAATGAGGAAACCATAAACACACATATGTTTTTGTTGAGCATTATCAATATTCAATTATTTGTGTGTAAATATTATAAAGATGCTGATACATAGTTTATGTCCTCTGAAGAATTTGACCATTGTTTATATTCTGCAATGCATGTTTAGGAAAAAGCAAACATTTACATATTAGAAATTCGAAAAAAATAGTTTTGTTTTTGCCACTTTTTTCAGTAATAGCTCATCAGCAAACATACAAAAAATATGTATGTTTTACATACTAAAATATACAGGTGAGAAACGTCAAATAAATAATGAAGATCTTAGTACATGTGGAAAGAGGTCATAAAAAAATAAAACACAAAGAAATTCACTGGTTTTACTAAACAAAAAATCTTGTAATGTTTACTTTATTGAGAAACATTCCATAATGGCATAAATAAACATAGCTGAGGAATGGTAGCTCTTAGGTCCTTATGATATTTTTTGACAATTTGCTAACTATATGGTCCGAAAATTGTCAAAAAATATCATAAGGTCCTGAGAGCTACATTTTGGCAGCTAAATCAAACATGTTCAATAAATTCTGCCCATATCACAAAAAATCTTAAGAGTAAAATTGAATGCTATTTTTTATAAATGACTTTTATTTCAAAATATTTTGTGAGAATTGTCATTTCTCCATTATTAAGTAATTTATATATATTGTAGAAAAGATATTGGCTTAATTTTATCTATTTCTTAAATTTCCTTAAGTGAATAGTAAATGACTATTCGCTTAAGGAAATTTAAGAAAAAGATTAAATTAAGCCAATTAAATTTCCTTAAGTGAATAGTCATTTACAATTGTTAATTGTTATTTTTTCTGACAAAGGAAATCAAAGTATAAAGTCAAAATGTATGTTGATAATTTTTCAATTTAAATACTGTAAATTCCAAAATTTTTGTGATGTTTTTATTATTTTAAAAATTGTGGAAGGTGAGGTTTCACAAAAAAAAACTGACATTTTATGTTTGATAGGATTATTTGTAGCATTTTGTGAAAACTTCATAATTAATTTGTATTTTAAATCAATTGTTCATCAATCATAATAATAAATGCATGCAACAAATTACTGAATTTACAGTCATTGAAACCGACTTTTACAGTTCTTTCTTTTTTTTCAGCCAACAGTAGATCAAATTCTCCCAATTCTCGACTTGGTTATGTCTCGCATACAAGAAAAGACAAAACTCCAGCCAAACCACGGCGATCTGGAATGGTCAGAAGTCAAGGTGCTAGTCGGGAAGGTAGTCCTAATAGATATGGACGTTCTGGCAGGGAACGACGACTTAGTGGAAGTAAAATCCCCTCATCTGGTGGCAAGGCCAAAGGTAAAAAAACATAATGATTATCATTTTGTAGTTTTCTTATACAGATTTGATATAAAGAATAAATTTTTCAGTTTAAAATGTTTACACAAAGGTTAAAATTTGGCTTTGACCTACTCTTGTGAAAGGGAACAACTTTCTAGTTCAATCTCCTATAGACTATAATGTCTATAGTAATATTCGTATGTTATTCTCTAAGTATAATTTTGAAAATCAACATTGTGTTTTTCATTTTATTAAAATTTCTTATGGGTTAAAAAAAAAGCCATAAAAAGTTTGAATTGCAGTTTTCACGAATGATTAAGATAGAAAATAGCCCTTTACAGCTAAGATTCCTAATGATGTATGTTTATTTTTCAGTGGTTGCACATCGTGTGTTACGCCATGGCTCTGATGTGGAGGATGCATTGGCAGATGCCTTAGTAAGTAAATAGAAATAAGGGAAATCTATCATTTCATTGCTTTCACTGGCCTGCAGCTATCATATTTAGGGATATTCTATTGAAGAAAATGAAAAAAAAATGATACTGATTTGGTATTAACACACAAATATTTTACTCGTCAGTAGAGGCTCATTGATTAACATGATTATCTTAATTTCATTCTTTTAAGCTCCTCTGGCTTTTTATGTTTAAATGCATTAGAAAGTTTGTCTACAAACCACCATGTTTTTCATAATTTCATTAAATAAAGTGAAACTTCATTTTGTAAAATACTTATTTTCTTAAAAGATTTGACAGTGAAACCATCTCTATATTAAATACATGAAAAATCTAGAGATATCTAGTTTGCTGCCAAACTTAAAAGCTTATACCTCAAAAACAAGTGCACAGACATAATTTTTTTTCTGGCTTAATATTATTTCTTTAGCAAATGTCTCAATATATAACTAGTATTTTTGAGAGTTATTGGCTAATCTTGCTCATCAATATGAGGGTCTTTTGAACAATAGGCCATTTCATTGATTATGCCTACAACTGGTATAGATATTAAACTTGATGGAAGTATTCAGTATTTATACCTTCCCTCTATATAGCTAGGAGTGGGGCTAATATTGTATTTCCCTTGTCTGTCCATCTGCTTATACAGATTTTCATTACACTTTATTTTGGCACTATTGAAAAGAATGACCTCCTATTTGTTGAGCAGGGCACTATTCAGGTCTGTCAGACACCTACCATCTGTTTGCCTTTATTTAGAAATTTTCAAGATGTTAAAAGAATTAATGTTCTATGATGAGTTGTACCATGTAAACAATACTTGACCAAGTACAAATATTTAGTTAGTGATAACAAAATATTTTGAATGCAGAAATAAGGCGCCACTTCATTTTTTTTGCCTTTCAAGAAATGTTGTCCAACAAAACTCAATTTATCCATAGACACAAAGCATTTATTTTTATCTTACCTCCTATACATTTCTAGGAATATGATTGGTTAAAAGCAACCGCATATTGAATTTACTGACCCTATATATATATCGTATTAGGTCATTAGCACACTATGTTACTAATAATATTTGGTTGTATTGTATGAGTTACATTACTACATTACAGGTACGTGGAGGTCGATCAAGATATGATACGTATGATTCAGATGACGCTGCCAGTGAAAATTCTAGTGTGTGTTCCGAAAGGTCTTTTGCTTCTCTTGGCAAAACATCCGAGGTAGGTCCAATTGATTGTGTGTAACAAAAAATTTACATTGATACAATATATGGCAAATTGTAAGAAAATCTCCTATAACAGAATAAAGCCCAAATAATGTTTAGTCAATGTAAGTAACAAAGTCAGAAAACTTCAATAAATTATTTTGTTTCTGTTAAATATCATTCTTTATAGAATGAATCCTGACTTATAAAATATAACACAGTATTTTTTACTCAAAAAAATTATTTCATCTATTTTATGCTTAGAAAATGGCAAGGAAAGTTGCTTTAAAATAGGAATTGAATTGAAGCAGTTTACAATTTTGTAATTTTTGTATTTATGAGAAAAACAAACATTGACTTGAATATTTTTGGAGCTTTTCTGTTTAAAAGGCATTTTAATAAAAGTTTATAGTGCATTTCATTATAAAGAAATAGTAAAACATGTATACACAATATGAAAGAACTTATTTTAAAAAGCCTTCCCCTTGCAGTCACTTGAGCTAAATATATAATGGAAAGAGACGGGAAGTTCCATGCTTGTTAGTATTTCAGTGGATCCTGATTTTAGGAGATAAGAATTTTCATGTTTTGTCAATAAAGCAACTCTATGAATTTAGGGCTGTTCCATTTACAGCTGTTGAAACTATTCATGTGTGAAACCAGGTTTTCGGAAGTTTATCAGTTTGTCAGATTCAGCAATAGCTAAATTAAAAACTGTCTGATATTAAAATCAATATTGTTCAATTGAAGCAGTTTTATAAAAGTGACTTTACCCAAGATACTCCTTAAATACATCTCTGCAGTTTCTGTCTCATTACATACCATTTCTTTTTTTTATATACCTCTTGATAAAATTAAAATAGAATAGACCACTAGAAAGTAAAGAGGTACAACATGAATGGAATTTTCATTGATACAATGTGTAAACATTTCAAAACGATGTCTTCAGACCTTGGGACATCTGTGTTTAAATAGAAGAGCTATTTGATACTCTACATATTACAATTCAAGTCAGGGTTTTTATTATATAAATCTTTGAACTCATTCCATTAATATTGGTCATATAGATATTCAGTTAATCCATTACAATGAAATTTTAACACCAGCTTAAAGCATTTTAATTCTATTTGTTGGAATTTAAAATGGAAGATCTAATAAATTGGCTTTTTTTTTTATATATATATAAAAACACTATAGAATTCTCTAAATCTACAGCTATTTGAAAGTTTGAGCTCAAGTATAAAACAAGGTTTATTGTATATTCATTTTATAACATTGGTGATATTTGCATTTTGATATTAAAATCACTTGTTTGTATATTCGTATATATATTTTATAAAATGTTTTCACCTTAATTGTGTATCTGATGTAATATTCCACACTGCTTGGATGATTTAACATGAAGTAATTGTTGTCAGCATTATATGGAGGGGATTTCTTTTTTTACAAACAGTTAGCAAGAAACATCGTTTAAAATTAAAAGTAAAGATTTCAGTATAAATGTAAATTAAAAAAAAATTTTGGGCACCATTAAAGAATTTTGGCATATATTTTCCCTATAGACATTCTACAAACAAATTTACCCTTTTCCAACATTTCACTGTCATTGTACCAGGCCCTAAAATACAAAAATGAATGCATAGAAGATTTGACTGCAATTGAAAACCAACCTTTGAAGAACTAATAATACCAACACCATATTTATTTTGAAAAGTAACACAAGCTAAAAAAAAAGGATTGTGTCGAAAAAAAAAAATAATTCAATTTTGAAATGAGCAAAAGATCTTGTGCAGACAATTCTTACAAGAAATTTAACTTAAAAAAAAAACACCTCGATACAAGTATACCTAGAATATTCTACTTTTGGAAAATGTGAAACTGTTTGGGAAAAAATATGTAACCTTCAGACATTGTATCATTTACAATTTATCATACTTCACAATCATTCATACTATTTGAATGTAGTTATTGCTACATGATCTGAGTTCAATTTTTGTGGTCAAGTCAGTGATTTTGTTGCTTTTGCTTTTTTCTGCTGCTTCCTAAAGGCATCATCGGAATTTGAAAAATGGTACTATCGACTCCCCACGCCTACGCAGGTATTAAGTTTTGTATATCTTGTGTTTCTGACAAACAACATATTCCTGGTTTGGTGATCATTTTCTTTTTATAGATTTTTGTAACTTTTAAGTTGTGAGCTATTTGTGATTATTTTGTCTAGATATTGATAATTTTTGTAAGGGCTATTCTATTAAAATATACATGGTACTCGGGGAAGGCACTTTGAAATGGTGTAATCAGTAGAGGAAATTGTAGAATTTCTCTTATACTTTCACTATAAAAATAGATGAGATTTCGAAGTGCCTTCCCTTGATCCCATGAATGATTTAATGGAACTGCCTTAAGTTGACAGAAAACTTTGTATGTCACCTCTCCTTTACTTATAATTTCATTTTTTATAAATTTTGTTGCATTTCTTTGAATACTGTATTTTCTTATTGTACTTAGTTTGATGTACCTTTTGGTTATACATGTTGTAGACTGTTATCTTATTGTAATGTACGTGGTATAATCTCATATCATCTACAAACAACAGTAAGGTAGACAAATCTTGTGGGGTTTAACCTCTGAACCCAACCTTGTGTACAGGACTATTAATCAACCCAGAACAGAGTTGTTCATGTTTGATGGCAGAAACTTTTATCAGTAATCCTTAATAGACATGCATGAAAGTTCATTTAGTTAAACATGTAATGACTGTTTCTTTGTCCCAATCAATGTGTTCAACATTAAATATTTTGCCTCTGTATCCTTGGAAATAACCCCACCCTCTTACTTTCATAGCATAGGTCAGTCAAATATTTTGTGTTTTTTTTTTCTTTTTTTTTTCATGAGTGTTTTATTTTTAACATATACAAATGATTATTGGTTTATAAGAACAAGATTTGCCTATCTTATCACATCATTGGATTGAACATATATTTATTTCTATGAGAATGATGAACTGATATTAGTTTTACACTATTTTAATGGCTTTATCACATCCAGCACAAAGATATGGATTCATCATCGTCATCACCCCCTACAATTAAATCTGATGAAATAAAGGTAACAGCTGTGTGATCATGTTTTTTTATAATTTAAAAAAAAAATTATTTATGATTTTTGTCTATTGTTGTACATTTTGTTATTTTATTCCTTTTTACATGGAATTTTCATTTTTCCACGACATTGTTGATTTATTAGTTTTTTGTCAATTATGATATCAAATTTTATTCTAATCTTGTTCTCATCTGTGATACAGTGAGTTTAAGGAGGTCTGGGTTATATTCCAGTGAGTAAAAAACACAATGACAAGACACATAGATTTAAAAAAAAAAAAACAATTTACAAGAGTCTACTTGATATGTCGTATCTAAATCACAGCATTTCTAAGTTGATGGGAGATTCACTTTTGATCTAATTACTGTAACATTTGGGCTTAAAATATTTTACATCTGGGCCAATAGCAATATTAAAGTCTAGATTTGGGCTAATCCTCCTATTTTACAGGTAAATTACAGGTATCAGATATATATTTTAATTATATATTTAAATTAGATATGTTATGAATGACATTCTATTTATAACATGGTTTATTTTATATACCCCTACTGTTTGCAAGACAGTGTCTGCCTGCTGCTCACTGTGGTGAGTGAAACGTATTCTGAGAAAGATGAGTCTTAATAACACTAAATAACTTTTAACTATTTACAGCTTAAAGTTATAAACATCTTAGTTTAGATATAAAAAGAACATCAAATTAATTGTTCTCAAAGATTTGTTGTGGACCTAAATTTAAAACTAGCACCTTTTTTTCCAAACTTGAAAGGTTTTCAAATGATGGAACTTTTTATAAATTGTATTATTTGAATTATTTCTAAGTGAAATTTCATATATTTTATGTCAAATCTCTAATTTACCTGTACAGGTAGAAAGTTTGATTAGCCCAAACGTGAACTTGATTTTAAAAAATTTGTCCAAATGATACCATGGTCATGCTTATAATTTATAGTAGTTCTCTCTGATCACTCCAGCTTCCCCCACCATTAAAAACTCACCGCCACGAAGTAGCACAATAGTGCTGAATTAAATACCAATCAATCAATCAATGTAATTTAGCCCAAAATGTCTGAGTTGAGAATAACTTAAAAACAACACGGACAATCTGCCATTACCAAGTTTTTCTTGAAAGTTGCGGCAACATCGATTTCTAGGAGAATTGGTTAAAAAACGATAAGCTTTTACTGTAGTTTACCAGTATGGTATATTTTTTTATTGGTTTCCTTACACACACACACACACACACACATACATAATTATAGAGCAAGAGAAATGAAGGTACCTTAAGTGTTTTTCATGGTGAAAGATAATTTGTTTTTCTGCCTAGAAAATTAAGATTTTGTGAAGATATTTTTAAAAAAACATTATGTGATTTTCTTGGCCTATACATGTTTAGAGTTTGCATATTTTACTAACATTTTTTTTTTCTTCTCAATTCACATCATATTTCATTAACGATATCAGATCTTAAATTTTTGCAATATTTACAAATGTTTAGTAATATTTTCAAAATTACTTGTGAAAACAGTGAAATTGTTTCTTCAATTTAAATATTACCATTACTTCAATATCTTACCTATTGTTTCAGGACACCGCAGAAATAATTTCTCTCTTAGGAAGCACTTCATCAGCAGACAGAAAAGAAGGACTCATAGCTCTTCAGAATTTATTACGATTAAATCGTTATTTAACGTAAGTGACTAACAGTTTTTACGAGTTAATGAAAAGTTTACAAAAATAATGGAGGATTAATGTTGAAGGAGAAATATTTTTTATGGATTTAAAAGATTTTTTTAATAAATCAGGTTTACTCTGTACTGACGCTAAGAAAATGTCCTGTATTTAAAAAAATAATATTCTCAACATGCCTTGATATGTTTTGTCTTAGAATATGAATTATGTACAATGTGTCTTAGAATATGAATTATGTACAATGTACTTTTGTCTGTATTTGAAATTTCCACTGGAATGTACAAAGAAAGAGTTTACTAAGATTGTAAAAATAGCAATTTAACTAAACTTTTATAATTTACAGGCGGGTAGAATTACGGAAAGTTATGGAAATTTTTACAAGAATGTTTCATGACCCAGCTAGTAAAGTGAGTAACAGATTTATGATTTGAAAGTTATATTAAGAAAAATATATCTCCTAAAGTTTTTCTAGAAATGTTTGTAGGAGGAAAAGGGGATCATTTCTTATAAAATTTGATGGAAGTTTGTGTTTTTTGAAGATCTGACTGAAGATATATTGATATTGTGTATTATCTAATTACATGTTGGCATGAAATAAAAGCTACTTTCCCCTTCTGCAATGTATTTCTGGAATGTCCTTTAAATTAGAGAATAAAAAAATGGAAGTGTCTTTAGGAACTTTACAAAGGAAAAGGTAATGTAATTTCAAAATATGACAGTAAAAATAAATCAACCAAGGTTGTTATGCTCTTTTAACTAACAAGTTTTATAAGAACTAAATTATAGAAGGGCACTAGTAAGCAATCATACAGAGGATAAAATTTCAAGGATTGCAAAAGTAAAAAATAATTTTGTTATTACTAACTGTGCTTGTGCTTCAAAGCTCTGTGTTGAAGGCCCTACTTTGACCTATAATGGTTTACTTTTATAAATTTTGACTTGGATGGAGAGTTGTCTCATTGGCACTCATACCACATCTTCTTGTATCTATTGAATACATACAGTAGTTTGCAAAGCATAATTGTCACAACCAAATAATTAACATAGTCTTGTGAATTACTAGTAATATCAATCTTTCTTTTATTCAGACTTGATTGATTGCAACATTTTTATAACCTTGCTTCTGATTGGATAACATTGAAATATGTCATGACAATCATTCCCAGAATGAAGCCCTCACATGGTATTTACATAACTTTCTGGTGAAGAAATATAAGAATTTGTCCATAAGTGTCGCATTTGTATTAGAACAGAACAATATTGTGATTAAATGTTAAAATTTTGAATTAAACTGATATTGTATGTTCCTAACTGTTTTGTTATATTTCAGGTTTTAAGTTTATTTTTTGATACATTAGTTGACCTAGTGATTGTACATAATAGGGACTTACACGATCATTTGTATTTGGTATTAACTAAACTGATTGTGAAAACTGGTGCCGACATGTTGGGATCTCAGCAGGCTAAAGTACAGAAATGTTTAGACACTATTAGGTAAGGTTCAGTTCTATTATTGGTAATCCTTTTATTACTCTGTGTAAGACGTCCAACCATGAGTACATGTTGATTATATATTAAAATGATTAAAAGATAAGGAGTATACATCAAGGAGACAGCAACTCAAAGACCAGGGTTCTCGGTCATAAAACTTTACTCAGTACTTGGAGTACAAAATTTCTGCTCGAAACACCAAATCCAGTATTGTGATTGGTTGATTTCTGAGTCTTAGTACGATAATCATTTAAGACTGCAAGGCCAGAAAGACAACATCTTTACTTACAGACCAAATATCATTAAAGTGAATACAAAAATAAAATTTTAAGATAAGACATGTACAACTCTTGATCTGAACATTTTTTCTGGTTATATGTATTTGTCCTGACTTTTATTTATAACAAATACATAAAATTAATTTTTCACTGTAGTCATATAAGCCACACTATAAACCCATGTTACCAGTGTATGTCCATGGTATACCTCACCTTTCAAATGAACTCACAGAAATAAACATTATACAATTACCAGGCAGGAGGAGTTTTTCTGTTGTTCTGACCAATCTAGCTGTGAAAGAATCCTTTCTTTTTTTATTATACTAGAGTCATCCCAGCAGTCCAGGCTTTTTGAACTTTGTACTCTCCATTAATTTTATATTTAAAAAATTACCTCCGTTCACAATATAGCTTTGATTCTTCATTGAAAGATAATTCAATTGAATTTAATAAAGATTATATTTCCATAACAAAGATATTCATTTATAAGAAACGGTGAAGAGAAATTCTAAAAACACTGCATCAGTTCCTACTAAATGATTAGAAATGGTCTCTTTACACTGGCTTCGTATTAAGATTTCTGTTTTCAATGAAAGAAAATTTCGAAAAAGGAAGATGATTTGATAATTGCATTAACAAAATTACCAGGAAAATTTCGAAAAAGGAAGATGATTTGATAATTGCTGGCTTGGACATTAACAAAATTTTCACCCCAAAAAAGAAAAGAAAAAAAGGATTTACAAATAACTAATATTGTAATAGTATAAGCCTTATTGAAATGACTTATTCTATTTTCAGGGACAATTTTCCATATAATATGCAGTTTAATGTGGTAACAAAGTTTATTATAGACCAGACACAGTCACATAGTTTGAAGGTAAGTTAGAATCATTTAGTGAACAAGTGTTGTTACCAACTAAGATATTTAACTTCTTCTTGAAATGTTTACTCTTTTACTTGAAAATGAATTACTTGCAGGGATAAATCTTTTGAATAATAAGGAAATTAATGAATAAGAAGATGATTACAGCAAGCACACACAAATATCCAAGACATAGTCACTACATATTTTTATTGTTTTTGTTTAGTTTTCAAATATTGTGGATTCATTTATTTTCAAATTTTCAATTTTTGTGGATTGAGGAAAAATTATAATCTTCATAGATTATTGATCTTATTGATTTTAACAAAATCTTCATACAAGCCTTTACAAAATTTATTTTGATGAATACTTAGATTTGTGTTTTGTTTATACCTATGAAATTCTATGAAAACTAGTACACCACACACAGTAATGAGGGGCCTGATGGGGGGGTCTCATCACGATTCACGAGTTGATTTTTTTGTCAATCACGATTCACAGAAAATAAATTTCCATGATCACGGATCACGAAAATATAAAAAAAAAAATCTGTAGAAAAACGGATCACGATAGCGAAAATGCGCCGATCACGAAGAACGAAAATAACCCATCAGGCCCCTCAATAATGAGTCCACATTTTCTTGAATGTACAAATAAAGTTTACAAACCAATACTTTTTAGAATTCCAACAGAAATGATTCTAAAGATATTTCTGAAAGTTTCTTGACATCAAAAGTAGGTCTCTGCAAAATCCATTGTAATATATTTTTTTTATTATTTTCATTTTTTGTTTTAGCTTTAGATCATATTTAGAAAATTACTTTTCCAATCCCATTTAGATCTTGGCTTTTCAAATTTTGCTTGTTACAGTTTGCTTACACCCTCTGGGATAATTGTGCAACAGAAAGATATGAAACAAAAAATAGAAATACTATAAACGAAATTTATGTATTAAATGCATATTAATAACACTTGAAATTTATCTGAAGAAAAAAGTTTCTTTCAAATAGCTAGACTAAGAGGTCAGAACTTTTACATAAATTTACTTTTCTCCACACTTTATTGCTCTAAATGTTGAACTGACATTGTGAAATTTGCTTGCATTTTCAATTAAAATTTAGGAAATTCCAACAAAGGTATTTCAGACTTTAGATTTTTCACACAAAAGTTTTAGCCACTGTTTTGTTAGTTTGAAAAATAAAATAATTTAGTTGTTACAAAATGATATGGAGTTAGTAGTGACTTGTAGGAAATGCTTTGTGTGCCAATGATGAGAAACATTTTTTCCTGACATTGACTGGTACCAGAATTTTTAAATTTCCCTGAGCTCATCATTTCCTGCAGTTACTACTGATAATACTATAAAGCCATTGGAATTGAATGTTGTAGGTCTTCATCCTGTATTGTTTACCTTCTTTAAGATATTGATTATTGTATCTTGTTTGTCTTAACATTAGACTAAACTTACAACCATGGGTTATACAGACAATTTCTTACATAATACCTGCAAAAATGCAATATTTAAAAAATAACTAATCCAGACCAAGGAAGAAGATTTATGACTAAATTCTCATGGCTTCATCAGTAATTTTATGACTAATTACTGCAAATTTAGAAATTATTGCGTGGTTTTGATAAATGCGAATAATGTATCTGGGGGAGTCTCGCCATAATAAGAACTTGCATTCTGATATCTGATACATATTTCTGTTTGCAGCTTTTCCCAATATCGCAATAATTTATCTCTCATTTTTGTCCATTCTTTAAAAATTGCAATAATAAATGCACACAATAATTACTGAATTTACAGTATAATATCTGCCAATTCTGGAAAGGTACATGAAAATAGTTTGTTTAATGGACCATATCTTTGTAGTTTTCGCTTCCTTTGGTGTATTTCAGTGATGAAATTGGTTGTATTAGAATTATTTATGTATTAATTAGGTTTAAATAGTGTTCTCATGCATCTCTTTATATTTCATGCTTCCTTACACAGCCAAAGGTAAACTGTCATTTCTTTTCCTATTTAATTTACTTTTCTTCATAATGGATGTTGTAAATTTTTCTTTCATTTCTGGCACTTATCACATTTTGTTGAGAGTAAAATCAAATTCTGTTGTCACTGTTTCAAAAATTTGGAACAGTATGGGTGATTTTAAGATATGAGTTATGACAACCTTTCAATTTAAAGTTGTTCCCTTTTTATATATACTTTTGTTTTTTTTTGTACATTGTCTTGTCTTTTTCCCTCATTTTGCAAGAGTTTTCTCCCCTATTAGAAATAGAGAAAAAAATGTACTAATTTTGATAATAGTAGGAGCACAAATTTCTACCTGTAAAATGTTTTTCAGAGTGTCAAAACGAATATAATTTTGCCTTTTTTATGCAATCTCAAACACATTCATCCTCTTGAAAGTAAGAAAAAAAAGCTAGGTTTTTTCTCTAATTTATCTTTCTGAAAAACACCCCCACTTGAAACCTACTGGAAATAGCTCATGCAAATGTGAGATACCTATATATTATGCTAAGTTGTTAGATTATATTGTTCATGGAAAATATCAGTTATGAAGAAAAGTTAAGCCTGTTTGGTGCTGGTGCCTGCCTGCTGCATTATTTTAGAATCTAATGGAAAATTCGATCAGTTCATTGTAAAAGAAATTGGTGTTGCAGTAAGAGATGCCATCTTAAGCAAAGGCTTGAGAACAAAATTCATTTATGATCATTGGTGTGTCATGTTTCATCAACATCGGTTGTTAGTGCATGATTTCCATTATTCGTATTTTAGAAGATAATGTTAAGCAGACATTATTCTGACCATATGTAATCAGAAAATACAGTTTGTCAAAATTGAATTCACTTATTGTGAAATGGTTTTCATTTACAAAGCCTCTCCTCTATTGAACAAATTGTACCCTTCACTTTAAAATATTTTACTTAAGCACATCCAATGGAAATTTTCCTAGCTTTTGAACACAAAATCCTCAACTTTTCATCTGCTTGTTTGGTTTGTCGCTTGCCATTCAGCAAACATATTTTTATCCATTTATGTCTCATTATGAGCCAAGTTTTCCACAAACACATCTGCAATAATATCAAAATAATATTTGTATTGAACATTTCAGCTAAATGTTAAAAAAAAAAATGATTTTATGAGAAAGTAACAAACAATTTGTAGTGGGAAAATCTTATCACATATAACCTTCTTTATTTTAAGAATACCTAGAATCCATAAATTTTTTTTTTGAAAAACTTGGAAGCCATATGTCACTTCTATTAACATTCAGTGTATCATAAGTGAGGACATTCCACTGAAAAGTTAAATTAAAAACATATTTTTATAATGACTACTTCTTCAATCTACATTAATGTTTTTTTTAATTTTACATCAAGTGGATAGTGCATGGAAATTGCTACAAGATTTTTAGCCATTATGGTTCTGGAATTTCTACTTAAACTTCCACAGTACAGAAACTAATTTGATAAATTATAATGTGACTGTGTTTTCTCAAGAAACCTTGTAACACATGACTTACAATTTCAGATATGGGCAAACTATACAGATGTCAATCATTCTGATTTTAAAATGTTTGCATACTATGATATAAAATGTCTTTTTGTTTCATTGCTTGCAGGTAAAGTCAAGTTTATTAAACTTTCTGCACTGTTTGGTTCAAGTTATGGATGTCTCCGATTTAATGAATTCCGCAGACTCTCGACTAGCAATCTCACGGATAATAAATTGGACAACTGAGCCAAAAAGTGTAGAAGTTAGAAAGGTAAGTGTTTTTAAAGAGACATAATGGACAATCTTTGCTGTTTATTTTTAAGTATAATTTGTTTCTTTTTAATCAACTAAATTTCTCCACCATAATAGAACATTTATGTTTGTTAGAAGACTAACAGAATTCATATGTTTTTATTGTTTCCTTTTCAGGGTGCTCAAATGGTATTAATAGCATTATTTAACTTAAATCCGCCAGAGTTTTCCATGATGTTATCATACCTTCCTAAAGCATTCCAAGTAAGTTCATCTTTTGCTTTTCTTCACCATTTATATTTAAAAATGTGTGAATGGATAAATGTTCTTATTATGCTATATGTGATATGTTATCTTTTCAAACTGAGTGTAGTTACCATAAGTATAAGCTTTAAGAAAAGCTTGCCTGACCTTAAAAAATATTTGTTTCTATGATCTAGTTAGGTTCCTATGTCTGACTACTGGAGATTTAGGGAAAATATGTTAAAACCACAAACATCTATCTTTGTAATTTAAAATACTTTTCATATGATCTAAGAAGAGAACACTTAAATTATATTAGTTTATGTGAAGCATATTGGTATTTTTATGTAAAAATGCTAAAATATTATTTCTTTTTTTCTCTTAGGATGGTGCAACGAAAATTTTACATAATCACATTCGTAGCGCTAGTCATGAAAGTGATGTGTTGTCTCCTCGAAATGTGACCAGTCCCCCTCAAAACAGGAGTAGACCTCCATCGCGGTAAGTTTTGTCTTCTTGTTATATGGACTGTCTATCTCAAAATAGGAGTAGACTGCCTTCATGGTAACTTTGTTACTTACTATAATGTTAGAAGTCTTTCTCAAAATAGGAGTAGGTCTCTTGAATAGTGTTGTCCTCCCTTTAATGTGATCATTCTGTCTCAAAACCTATTTTGTCTCATTATAGGCATAAGTGATAAATAAAAGTATCCAAATTTCTCAATTTTTGTGTAACATTTGTAGGTAGAGAATAAATATCCTTGAAAATTTTTGACTAGAGCATACTAGTAATCCATTCCTAGAAAAGAAACAGAAATAATAAATGAACAATTATTGTTGTAGGACGGAGCATCCTGATGAGCTGGAAACAGAAAATATGAACCCAGAAGACATATATAATTCTATCAAAAAGACTTCTGCCGATATTCAGAATTTAAGTATAAATAGTAAATTGGACAGTTATGAAAATGTTAAGAAAAAGATAGACTTTACTTCACAAGATAGTGGAATTCAGGATTTACGGAATGACAGTCCCGATGCTGTGGATGGGAGGAAAACACATTATAATCCATCTCACTATCAAGACGAGGTATGTGTATGTAAGACATTGTATAGTATGTACAGTATTTTCTCATCTGTGATATATTATGTATATATATATATATATATATATATATATATATATAGATCTCTATTGGATGTTTTATTCTGTATGGAACTCTATTGTGTATGTTTAGATCTCTATTAAAAATTTTATACTATATGAACCCCTTATAGATCTTTATTGGAAGTTTTCTCTAAGGAATAAATCTGTGTTGACCAGATAACAATTGTCCATCTCTGTATGGTCAGTAGGAGTGGGACTATTGATTGCCCTTACTGACCTCTAACTTAATAATTGTAAGTTATCTGTCAATATACAAGCTGAAAGATGGAGAAATAACTTAATACACAAGTTCTAGTGGCGGAATCTGTTTCTCTGATGATTTTTAGAGGATATCTAACTACGAGTAACAGTGGCTGAATATGTTTCTCTGATGAATTTTAGAGGATATCTAACTACGAGTTATAGTGGCGGAATCTGTTTCTCTGATGATTTTTAGAGGATATCTAACAATGAGTTATAGTGGCAGAATCTGTTTCTCTGATGAATTTTAGAGGATATCTAACTATGAGTTATAGTGGCGGAATCTGTTTCTCTGATGATTTTTAGAGGATATCTAACTACGAGTTATAGTGGCGGAATCTGTTTCTCTGATGATTTTTAGAGGATATCTAACTACGAGTTATAGTGACGGAATCTGTTTCTCTGATGATTTTTAGAGTATATAGTGGCGGAATCTGTTTCTCTGATGATTTTTAGAGGATATCTAACTACGAGTTATAGTGGCGGAATCTGTTTCTCTGATGATTTTTAGAGGATATCTAACTACGAGTTATATTGGCAGAATCTGTTTCTCTGCTACGAGTTATAGTGGCAGAATCTGTTTCTCTGATGATTTTTAGAGGATATCAAACTATGAGTTATAGTGGCGGAATCTGTTTCTATGATGATTTTTAGAGGATATCTAACAATGTTTATCCTTCCTTTTCAAAGATTTGCAGAAAGTTGTGTTCTTTGTATGTGACGTTTTATACGCCCGTTTACAGGACGTATTATGGTATACCGTTGTCCGTCCGTCTGTCCGTCCGTCGTCAACATGTCAGACATTAATTCAAAAACGCTTTAACCGATATGCATGAAACTTTGGTAAATTGTTTATATCTATTGATGTGAGCTCCTTTTCGTTTTTTATAAATTGCTGATTTACCGTTTCCGAGTTTTGGGGTTTTATTCATTAAAAAGGGGGGGTTTTCCAGTTTTCGGACAATAACTCGAAAACAATTTCACCAATTTGCATGAAACTTTTGTGAATTGTTTATATCTATTGACATGAGCTCCCTTTCGTTTTTATAAATTTCAGATGTACCGTTTCCTAGGTTTGGGGTTTTATTCATTAAAAAAGGGGGGATTTTCCAGTTTTCGGACAATAACTCAAAAACAGTTTCACCAATTTGCAAGAAACTTTGGTGAATTGTTTATTTCTATCGACATGAGCTCCCTTTTGATTTTTATAAATTTTTGACTATACGTTTCCGATTTATGGGTTTTTTTTCATTACAAAAAGGGGGATTTTCCAGTTTACAGACAATAACTCAAAAATGCTGAAAGCTGAAAGCATTTTTTATGAAACTTTGGTAAATTGTTTATATCTATTGATGTAAGCTCCCTTTTGATTTTTATAAATTTTCGATTTTACGTTTCCGTGTTATAAGATTTTATTTGTTTATAGTCTGACAACAGATTTACTAAGTATTGCGCAACAGCACAGTGTATTGCACAACAACACAGTGTATTGTACAACAGCAAGAAATCTTTAATTGAATATAAATTCAATTCATATAACCAATTTCAAGTTCTTTGACTACATTTATTCAGAAACCTGTAATATGTCAAATATTTAATTACAATCCAAATTCAGACCTGTATCAAGCTTGAATATTGTGTCCATTTTTGCCCCAACTGTTCAGGGTTGGACCTCTGCGGGCGTATCCAGCTGCGCTTAGCGAAGCAGTTTATTAGGCATGGTCGCCTTTTTTTCATGACATCACAATAGGAAATTCAGAAGAAACCAAGAAAATTTGACGTCATAATTAAATTTTGACCAATCATTTGCAGAGAACAAAGTTTTCTCTAGAGATTAGAAATATTTTTCTCACACCGATGGAGAAATGTGAAAAAAGCATGAAAATTAGAGAAAAGCAGTTTTTTTGTAGCACCATTGTAGACAAAGTCATCAAGAAAAAAAAATAGTCTTTATCATATTTATAAAAAAATAAGTAGCTTGTAGCTGAAATTGAAGTCAACTTTGCCTTGAGTAGTTTAAAACTAAGTCCCAACAAGATTAAAAATGTATTAACTAAAAAATTGTCAAAATCTTTTTAATGTAATATACCATGCCAGTGTTGAAGCATTGTTTTTTACTCATTCACTTATGTTTTACAGGGAATATTAAATGGTTTGAATAGGTCAAGGTTAGCAGATCCAGACTTTGACGAAGGAGAATCATTTAATGAAGGTAAGTAAATGTCAGTCAAGTACTGGTTTCTCTGGTGATCAGTATTGCAGTATTTTCTCAGCACAGCATACTATTTGTGGTACTAGCTGGTTCACTTACTTTCTTTCAACTCAGGTTCTTAATCTTTGAATCTTATTTCATCCCTGCGAAAAATTTTTAAGGTATCCAAAAAAAAATATACAGAAAAAAAATAAATATATGGATAACAGATATGCATAGATATTGGTATATATAAAAGAATTTGATGTTATCTATTAGAAATCAGTATAACAAAACACAACATAGGTAATTCTGTTAGAATTAAATCATTACGGACGTTTCCGAACCATTTCAAAGTTGATTTTGAAATGTGTATTTACCATATTTTCTATCATCTTTTTATTCTTCTTGTTCAATTGTATAAATTATTTCCAGAAATTGAACGCTTTAGTTTTCCAAAAGGTTTGTTATTAAATATTCTGTATAAATCAGTTACTCACCTATATATCTGGTAGATGGTTTATTATTCTGATTTTATAAGCATACACTTTTATTCTGGAATATAAATTTTCTTCATCTAAATCAAGCTCCTAATAGTAAATTCACATCATCAAATTTTATTCTGCAATCTTGATGAATTTGAGCAGTTTACTTTGCCATTAGTTGATATATTGCAGGATGGAATTTTTGCAATCATTCTTCATTATGTATAATTAGATATTTGATAGTAATGATAAAATATATATTACTCAGTATTTATATGTATCTTTCAACACACATTAGTTCATTTTGCATATATCATTCATTTATTTGATGTTACTAATTTGCAGTTTAATCTGTGCTTGTATTACACAGCTTCCTATGTATTGTAGGTGCCTGAGTTCTAATTATATGTTTCCTCTTAAATTTTTGTAATTATTTGGTTGTGTTCCAATGTGGTTCACCCTCAATGTCCAATTGTCAGATCCAAAGGTTTTCATGAATAGAAAATAGCACTTAATTGCTTTATACTGTGGATTCATATGTTTATGTGGGTATCAATTTAGTGGATTGAGGAAAAATAGTTTTTCATGGATTTTTTATTTTGTGGCTTTAACAAAATTTGCATATAAGCATATATAAAACTTCTGCATTGTTGAACATTTAGATACTTGGTTCACCTATACCCAGGAAACTAAAATAGTATCCCAGGAATAGTAATGAATCCTCAGTGCTATACATGAAACTTTCCAATTTAAGGAAGATAAAATAAGGTGTAAAAAATATACCATGCAGATCATTTCTGATTTTTGACACACCTGCCAAAACACAAGATATATCATCATATTTTGGAGATGTGTTTGATTCATTAATGCACTAGAACTTAATTTGACCAAAGCTGTTGTTAAGTAGTGTTGAATGAAAATTAAGAAATAAATTCAGCACATAGCATGTTGGAATGTACTATTTGTAAATAGATATTTTAAAAAAAATATAATTATTCCATATCAAAACTGATTAAAATTTTTGCTGCGCTTCAGAACCATGGAAAGCATTGTTAGGAATATCTCAGTATGAAGACGGTAATATTTCATTGTGTGGTGGTGTGACCTTGCAGGATTGTGGTTATCTCCCCTTTAACATTATGTCTAACAGCTTTTAAATTGTGACATTTGAAGAACATGTAATTGTTGATCAAAACATTGTCAGTTTTATTGCTTGAATTTTGTGATTTTGTATAATTTTCATTTCGCTATGGATTTTTTCTTTTAAAAAATAGAAACTTTTGTTTCTACAGCACAATCATTGAAATTTGACTAACACAAAATGCAATTAATTTTTATATAAATGTTGCTTAATGCAGATTAAAAGCTGTCAGATTTAAGAAAAAACAAGTATTAATTGCCATAGAAGATGATATTGTCTGTGAAGCCTGAATAAATTATGTTAATTTCTTTAAATCAAATAAAAAACAAACTGTTTTTAACATTTTAAAGTTTGTATCATTTGTTCCTATTTTTAGGTTTTATTGAAATTAACATCCTTGAAATATTTGTTTTATTATCACAACCCTCTGTCCAACACTATTTGTTGTTATAATAGCATGTTTAAACATTTTACATTAAAAGTTTAGTGTGTATGTTAAGCTGTGTGTTTAAAAAATGTGTTGTATTCATTTGGAATTAGATTTTTTGATGATATTCAGTTATATTTGAAATGCTATGAAATTCTGAAAAGCAATAAATAATCTGTAGGACTCTCCTTTAATTCACATCTATAAACATATGAAATTGCCCAACATATTTATAAGGACGAATGCTCTGTCTGGTTTTTGACTTAAGTACATTAACAACAGGTTATGGGGTATTTGTGCTTGAGAAACAATCAAATTGTATCTTTGAAATACTCAGAGAAAAAGATATTTTTTATTGTTGTTCTTCTGGGAAGTTTTCAGCATAGAGCCCAAGCACTGTTTATAACATTAAATGAAAAACAAGACGGTCAATATTTTAAGCATTAGTATTTTCCTATACTGTGAATAAAAGAAAATTTAAGGGTAAACGTCAGTGGGACTGCAAACTTTCAATGCAAATACACCAATATAATCTAGAGGTCTTATATGGTATTTAAACACCACCGAAACAAGTATACAGCCTTTTTTTGTATTGTAAAACACACAGGCACTTGTCTCTAAAAAACATTACCTATATACTTTGATAGTGTTATATTAAAGTATATAGGTATTTTTTTTTCAGAGACAAGTGCCTGTGGTAAAACAAGATAATACTCAATTTGAAAGTGTAATATGTTTGTTATTTATTAGAAAAGCATGTTTTTTTTTATAACATTTAAAAAGCCATTTGAATGCATGATATCCAAGTACAAAAAATTTACCTGAAAAAACTATCCCTGCTTGGCATGAAATAATTCAGACATTATTACATTTTTCACTCATGGTGTCTCTTATCAATTTCATATTAAGCTGTTCTCACAAACATAAAATCTTGTAAGGTTCATCAGTGTTTCTTTTGTTGGCAAATTTAGGTTTAACTAATGTGCTTTAGTGCAGTATTTATTTGTATATTTGTTTTTGTTTTGTTTAAATCACATTTCATGTACTAATTTTTCACACATACATTCAATGTCAACTTGATCAAGGCTTCTTTTATCATTGATTTGCTTGGATTTAAACTGAATTAAATTGTATTGAACTGGATGAATAAAATTAATCTTAAAAAAAACTTTTGTTATATATATAAAATTTGTATATAAAACAATATTGTTATATTTTCAGATTTTTCAGAAAATGATATTATATCTGAAATTCTTAAAGAATTATCTAATCACAATGAAAGGTGAGTAGATTAAGCAAAAATTAAATAAAAGTAAACATTTTGTTGGGGATTCATTGACTTTCGTGGTATCTAATTTTTATGGATTGGAAAACACATTTTTTTTTAAGGGGTTCTTGATTTCCTGGTTTTATCAAATTCTGCATACGAACCTAACAGAAATTTATATTTTGTTGAAAACTAAAAATTTTAGTTCAATTTTACCCTTGATAATGTATTTATTTACAGAATGTGCTTGAGAAAGCAGTTTACAATATGTGTATTTTGTTGTCAGATTTCTGATTCATTGACATTAATACTCCCACATCATTTTTTATTCGTATCAAAGGGGAATAAGCCATTTAAAATATTGGTACATTTTCCCATTTTTTCCAGAAATGAAGAGAGAGAAGAAGCAATGAAACAGTTAATCAAATTAACCAGAGAAGGATCATTTGGACTGTGGGATGAACACTTTAAAACAATATTGTTGATATTACTAGAAACTCTGGGTGATAATGATGTAAGTTTATAATTAGTACCAAATTAAACATAAAAACCTAATATAGATTATTAAGTTTTAGTCAAAAATTGATAAAATAAAAATATGTGCAAAATATATATATATATACTGCAGTGTAGGCATGACTGGTGAACATTTTGTTCTTTGAATGAAATTAGCAAAATAAATCTTAGATGGTTAAAAATGCTGTACACAACTCTAATAAGTTGAGTTTCATTTGATTATTTACTTATGACAAATTTGATTTAACTTGGACATGTTATTTGAAATTATACATTTATTGATAATGTAATAGTAACACAGACTGATGACAGAAAGCATGTTGATCTTTCCTATAACTTAGTTCATTTCTCCTTAGGTACGTTGGTAAATTATTTTTTGGTCAAATTGTTAATTTTTATTTCTAATGTTAAATTTCAGGTACAAATTAGAGCATTGGCCTTAAAATGTCTGCGAGAAATATTGCGACATCAACCAAGGCGGTTCTGTGACTATGCTGAATTAACTACCCTGAGGATATTAGAGGCACATAAAGATCCGGATTGGAGGGTATGAGATGATTTTTAGGCCATGTAAAATAAATTTTCTGGTTCTCAGATACTGACTTCTAAAAATTGAATGATTATTTTAATTATGTTATTATAACTTTGTGTGCATAGACCAATATTTATATACGCCCATTTACGGGACATATTATGGTATACCTCTGTCCGTCCCGTCGTCAACATGTCGGACATTAACTCAAAAACTCTTTAATCAATTTGCATAAAACTTTGGTGAATTGTTTATATCTATTGACATGAGCTCCCTTTCGATTTTTATAAATTTTAGATTTTATGTTTCCAAGTTATGGGGTTTTATTCATTAAAAAAAGGGGGATTTCCCAGTTTTCGGACAATAACTCAAGAATGCTTTCACCAACTTGCAAGACATTGTGGTGAATTGTTTATATCTATTGACATGAGCTCCCTTTCGATATTTATATATTTTAGATTTTAGGTTTTACGAGTTACAGGGTTTTATTCATAAAAAAGGGGGATTTTCCAGTTTTCGGACAAAAAAATCAAAAATGCTTTCAGCAGTTTGTATGAAACTTTGGTGAATTGTTTATATCTATTGATGTAAGCTCCGTTTAGTATTTTATAAATTTTACATTTTACATTTCTGAGTTATGGGGTTTTATTCATTAAAAAAGGGGGGATTATCCAGTTTTCGGACAATAACTCAAAAATGCTGTCAGCAATTCTCATGAAACTCTGGTGAATTGTTTATATCTATTGATGTTAGCTCCCTTTACATTTTCATAAATTTCTAATATGACTCAGAATTAATTGAACTTTATTTGTTTATAGTCTGACAACAGATTTACTAAGTATTGTGCAACAGCACAGTGTATTGCACAAAAGCAAGAAATCTTTAATTGAATATAAATTCAATTCATATAACCAATTTCAAGTTCTTTGACTCCTTTTTATCAAAAACCTATAATATGTCAAATATTTAATACAATCCAAATTCAGACCTGTATCAAGCTTGAATATTGTGTTCATTTTTGCCCCAAGTTCAGGGTTGGACCTCTGCGGGCGTATCAAGCTGCACCCAGCGGAGCATTTTATTTACACACTGTATTTATTCCTGCTGATGTAAAAAGAAAATACACAAGAAACAATTGAAATTATAAAGTCAAAGGACAAACAACACTGTGGCAATACAGAAAATGACAAACAACTTCGATAAAACATTACATAAATAAACTTTTGTATATCCTTATGTGAAAGCATCAGTTCAACAGTTGAGAATAACATATAGTCTCCTACTTCAGGAATAAAACCACTAATTCATAGCCCCATTGCTTTCTATGTTTAATTCTGCAATTTCAAGAATATTAAAATGGCTACTTTGTCTTAAGTTGAATAAAAGTGGCAGTCATTTCATGTCAAAACTATACTTTATCCTGACTTGTGCTGAAAAATTCAGCATACCTTTAATGCATAATAGAGCGCACTGGTTCCCCAGAAGTTTGGTAGTACAAAAACAGGTACTTCTGATCTGAACAACAGTACAAAGGTGCCCTATTATAATTTCATATGATTTTTTTGTTATTTGAAATAAACTTTCAACAAGGGTCCTACAGTGATTCAAGTCCTTAAGCTTTCATTTGATACCAAATTTACCCAAATATTTTATTTATTGACAAAGTTACAGCTATGCGTAGGAACTGTTTTGTTTAAAATATGTACTACTTTCTTGTATGCTCTTTCTGACCCAGCCCTAATTAGTGGTTCTATACCTCCATAGCTTAAATCTTTACAGTAAGACAAACTTAATCAATCAATACTTTGTTTTTTTTAGGTACAAAAGGCAGCTGACGAGTGTGCTGAGACTCTAGCTAATTATATACCACCTGATCAATGTATCAGAATCCTAACTCCTATTGTCCAATCAGCATCACATCCTATAAATTTAGGTGCCATCAAAATGCAGACTAAAGCTGTAGAGAGAATGCCTAATGATGCCCTTGAAGGCAAACTTACTGACATCATTCCTGGTTTAGTAAAGGTATGTAACCATAAACCAGAAGAGGGGACTAAGTTTCCAAGCTTATTTCATGTAAAGTTAATGTAAAAATACCTTTATAATATAGTCAAATTATATTGTTTGAACATACATTTTTCAGGGCTGTGATGGGTGCAATCACAACCCTTTTGAAAGAAAAATGGGACAACATATAATAGTATCCATGGGACTTTGAAAATTTGGTATCCAACTGTAGAAGCACTTAAGGCTTTTCTTATGCAATTAAATGTTAAAAAGGTGTACAACACACTCTTAAAGACACATGTTCCAAATGTGCAGATGAAGAAAATATGGACAGATAACTAACAATGAAGTCAAGTTTGTTTGTTTGGTGAACCATAAAATCAATATAACCTTTGATCGCTACAGATTGATTGAGTAACAAAAAGTTGCAACTAACCAAGCAAATCATGGGGCCAGTGATAACAGTATTAGGGCTGTTCAAAAATTTATCAAGGGGATGGGAGGAACTCAAATTAATTGAATATGAGTGGTTACATTTTCCTTAGAACTTTGTAAGAATTTTAGACAAAGTAACATTTTTATTTTATGGGTGGTCTTAATGCTTTTATTTCTAGAAGAAAGCCCTTTTTGAAAAAATGTAAGATCAGTTTGTTTCTTAATTTACAATAGTTTATCAATAACTTATCTTTCGCCTAACAAACAAGTGAACTTAGTTTTTATGCATGACATCCACTCTCAAATAGTTCAGATGTAATATCAATCGTGTATTTATCTATTGAAGGCCTATGATGATCAAGTTAGTACCGTCAGAAAGTCTGCTGTATTCTGTTTAGTAGCAATTCATACTAAAGTTGGAGACACAATATGGAACTACCTTACCAAACTCAATTATAGTAAAGTAAGTGAATTAGGTCAAGTTATCATAATCTAAATACAGTCTTATACTTTCACTTTTATGTTTCCTTGGAAATAATAATTATTTCCCTGTTATTGTTTTTCTGATATTGAACATAAAGGAATATCTGAATTTGTCTTAATTTTCAATGTGGACTGAGATTTGTTGACACCTTAGGTACATTAGATTTATGTGTGTTGTTTTAATTAAGTGTATTTAAGAATATATACTCATGATCTGAAGTTCGGAAAAACTAATTTACATTAAACGGTATGGGTTTTGCTGGTTGTTGAAGGCTGTACGATGACCTATAGTATATTAAATGTCCATGTCATTTGTACTCTGTTGGATAGTTTTTTCAGTGACAATCCCACCATATTTCCAGTTTATATTAACAATGTGAGCAGTTTAGACAAAACCCCTAAAATGGCATAGTTGGAGAAGCTTAAACTTAGGTTTTACATCTTAATAATTTTTCAAGTGTCTTCAAACTAAATTTCATAAAATAAGACTAAAAAGGCTCCAACTGTTAGGCAACCATAGAAATAGAGTTGCTTTACAAAAAAGGAAATAACATCATAAATATGTTATTCATTGTTTGCAATGTGCTTCTATTGTTCTTCAAATAGGCTTATATTTACATTGTATCATAGATCAAATTTATTTGTTCAGTGTATGTTTTGATTGAGAAAAGCCATTTCAATTGATATTTTATAGTGTGTCGTTCTATGTTGTGATGTTACACTATTGTTTCAGATTAGGGTGAAGGTTTGGTACCATTAAAACGTTTAAACCCGATGCAATTGTTTGCACCTGTCCTAAGTCAGGAATCTGATGTTCAGTAGTTGTCGTTTGTTGATGTGGTTCATAAGTGTTTCTCGTTTCTCGTTTTTTATATAGATTAGACCGTTGGTTTTCCCGTTTGAATGGTTTTACACTAGTAACTTTTGGGGCCCTTTATAGCTTGCTGTTCGGTGTGAGCCAAGGCTCTGTGTTGAAGACTGTACTTTGACCTATATTGGTTTACTTTTATAAATTTTGACTTGGATGGAGAGTTGTCTCATTGGCACTCATACCACATCTTCTTATATCTAATTATAGCAAAATATTAAGCCGTCTACATATTCATAGAATGTACTGTATATAATTATTGACAGCTTGATAGTCCTTTGTTTGCCTAAAATCAATGCTTTACATGAAAGATCATTAGTTACCATGCACCAACAAAAAGCAACTATTTCATAAATATTTCAATTGATACCTTAAATCTAAATATATTTATGACAGTCTCACATTCTTTTCACATCAGTTACTTCACATTTAAAATACAAATCTTGTCATTTTGCATTTGTTTTGTAGGTAAAATTATTGAACTTATACATCAAGAGAAATCAACAAAAGGAAACTGAGAAGAAAGTGGGAGGGATCTGAAACTGATCAAACAACATTTTAGAATATATGTAAACATTTCCATCAGTTTCATTATAATTCAAATAATTGTGATCAAACTTCCAAGCCTTTCCATAACCTCAGATGTGTACTGCATTTTAATTGGACAGCTTAGCCATGTGATTTTGATGGATTTTGTTGCCATTTATAAAGCTATTTGATTGGATAGAAGTTGCTCACATGATTTGTCTGTGATTTTTGATGGGTTGATGGATCAGCTGTAAATTAGAGGTCTGATTGGTTAAAATTTTATGTTTAACCACGAACAAATAAACAGATTATGTATTTATTATATCTTTCACTTGTATCTGATGCTAGTCCAGTGTGTTTTTATTAAGATAATTTATGGGTTCTGTTAGATATTAGTGACAGATATTATTTAATAACTTCACAGTGACTTTCATGTTGTTTGAAAGAATATACTCTCAGTATTTATTATTATATATAACATAGTTCAGTCTCTCTTTATAATCATAGGAAAACAAAGTAAACATATTAATTAAACAAAACATAGCAAAATATATGAATTATGGTACTATATCTTGAAATATCATATGAGATTTTAAGTCACTACTTATAAATTATCTTCATCTTACAAGAATTTTTGAATTTTCTATGGAAATAGTATCTTGTAACTTCTTATTTTAATAGATCCTTTCCGAGTTTATTTATTTACAATATACTCAGCTCATTTATTTACAACCTTCTCAGCTCAGATTGACTTTCATTAAATAAAAACTTACCTGTTAAACACTTAATTCCATTACTTGAATGCAGCATTTTTTATTTCTTAAATTGCATCGATTATTCTAAAAAATTTGTCCATTGATCAACAGTAACATAGAGAAATGCAAACACAATTTTGTGAATTCTCAGGGACTTAAAAAAAGACCTGATCAGTTGCTGTTGCTAGAGAGTTGACATAGATATAAAGGTCGGGGTTTTTATTTTGGTAGTAGTGATAAAAACAATTAGGTTGTATTACATTCTTTTTTATTCATGACATAATTAGAATATAATTGATCCGTCAAACATAATATTATTGCTTCCTTTGTCATTATCAAGAAAACCCAACATTCACAAATTTTTTTTTGTCTAAATTGTTATGTGAATATAATACAAGGTAAGATAAACATATTAAATTCATTGAAACAAAAGTTAACATTTCATATTTTTTTCACTTTCTTAATTTTTTTCACTTTCTTATCGACAAGAAACTTGTTATGATGTTCGGTTCTTGTACTTATGATATTGTTAATTTTGTGTTGAATGATTAGAATGGAAGACAGTCAAGATTAGGAGAAACATGAGCAGAGAGTGTATGCTGTGTACAGATTACAAAAGGTGGAGCAATGAAATGTACATGTATGAATGGGAGAATGACAAATAAAAAAAATGTATTTCTTTATTTTTATTTTGTCACAATCAGAAGTGAAAGATCAAATTTTATCACAATAATCAACATGAACACTTTAACACATGAAAGGAAACAACATTAAACTAAGATCTAAGCTTCCAAATACTAGTACGTTCAACAAGAATTCATATTTTGATCCTAAACGAATTTTGGATTCAAATTGCACTACTTGAAATTTTGCTAGATATTCATATCAGAATTATAAGAATAGTACAACCAACTACTCTCACTGCACAAAATACAAGTTTTTAAATTTTTTGGAAGTATTCAAAATTTAGTTTTAACAAGTGTTATATAAAACAGATAAGGTGTTGAAACCAACAGAATCCATGAAGGACTCCGGTAAATCTAAAATAATGTCACCTGAGAAATATCCATTTGAATCCTTAACAAATTTTAATATAACGTAAAATAACAAAAATACTGAACTCCAAGGAAAATTCAAAATAAGCCATTGATGAAAATAACATTATCTTGACAAGTTGCAATAAAAAGTAGTTACTGTAAAATCTCTACAGTTTATGCTGTAATGGAATTTCATATTTTTTACTATACAGCTACATGCAAATTTTTTTCTTTCTTTTGTGCTTTTATATGCAAGCAATAAAATGTATAGTCCACAGTTTTAAGATTTAAAGGAAAAAAACATTATTAGAATGTTTTCTATGAAATAGGGTTCAGGGTTAAATTATTTACAATTGAACGTCTAAACAGATATAGTTTTGATATTGAGTATTCAAACAAGATAGTGATTTAATGATATGCATGGCTGTAGTGTGAGTGATTTAAAAAAAAAAATGAGTACATTAGTACTTAAAAGTACTATAAGTTGTACTATTTCAACTTGCCTGGTACATGAAATAAAATTGGTTAGTTCAAATGTACATATTAACTGGAGTATGTTGAGTGCATGTTTCAGCTTGGCTAATATGAAGAATAGTTTTACCTGTAAAAATATTTTTTTAATTTTAAGGAATTTGCAGACATGTTTTAGAATTGCTGAACATTATTTAAAAATTTCTTTTAAAGTCAATTTATTTATATAACTAATTTATAGTATAAAATACAAATTGAGCCTTTCAACATTTACATGGCTAAGTTCTTATTACTGTAAATTCAGAAATTATTGCATGCATTCATTATTGCAATTTTTGAAGAATGGACTAAAATGCGAGATAAATTTTTGCAATTTCAGGAAAATCTGCATACAGATATAAGTATCAGATATCAGAATGCGAGTTCTTATTATTGTGATTTTCATCCATTTGCATTGATAAAAACCTCGCAATAATTTCTGAATTTACAGTATTCATTCTGCTAACAATATATGAGTTAGTAAAGAACATTGGAGATTCTAAATATAATGACTACATTTTTAGATATGCTGATTTTGGTTGTAAGTGAATGGAAGTGACGTTTACTACAGTGTACTATGTTGGATGGAAGATTTATTAAGTGTATGCATGTTTATGGTTTGGTGTAAAATGTGTGTATCAATGTGCTTTATATGTACAATCTTGTGTAATTTAGATATAAATTCACTTTGGTATGAAACCATACCAATAAAACAAATCTAACCTTATGTTTTCATTGTTGTTTTATATTGAAAAGTAAGGTCTGTATTTTTTTGTATTTTAATGGTAATAATAACAGTCAATATTGTCTATTTTTAGACATGACTGTATTGGTATGCCGTTGTTTATTTCCTTGTTTAAGCTAGTGGTCATACTGTTGGTAGCTGGACTGTAGGTTTTTTATTGTGTGTTTTACTATTATGACATATGGTCTAGATATTGATTAAGCTGGATGTTTGTTGTAATTAGAGATGGCAACTCGATGAACAATTACTAATCGAATACTCATTGGTTTTATCTACAACACGGAAACACAAAAATACGTATTTTACATTCTGTGGTTTGTTGTTCAACAGACATCTACATAAGTATCTGGGATATGGATTTACACACCATAATTAATAGCTCATTACCTACAAGTACTAATTAAGTAAAAAAAAACAATAATCTAATCAATATAATTTAATGAACACCTATTTAAAAATTATAACAAGGAAAAACCATATCAAACATTAGTATTTGGTAATCATTAAGAAAACACATTTAATGTTTACAAAGGCGCATTGATTAGAAGTTTAACTATTCACTGAGAGTCACCAGAGGATGCAACAAATTTGTTTTATTAGTTAAAAAAAAAATATTTATTAAAGTGTCACATATTGATTGACAAAATATTTACATATCACAGTATTCAATAAAACAATCTCAGTCATAAATTTGACTTATGAGACACTTTAACACATGCTATGTACACATCAATATAGTTTCACAATAAAATTCATAAAATGATCATCAAAAAGTTAAAACATGTTTATGAAACATTTTCTTGTCAACTATTATTCGAAACAGTCGGTTTTGCAAATTTGTAAATTACAGTCTAGCAGACAAAAATATTTTCTCTGACGGTACCAATGTGACGGAATAGCTAAGACATGCTGAGTTTAAAGTGTTAGCTTACGTACAGTATGTATTTTCGGACACATATAAAAAAATGACAATTTAGCACAAGCATTTGAAACAAAATGTATTTTATTTACTAATATGATTAATCAGTGATGCCTATTTAATTTTCCGAAAGAGATTCTCAAGAAGATCAATTTTATATAAAGAAGACAGCAATATATAATAGGAAACCGATAAGTCGAGTATCGTTTTGGTATTCAATACTTGGTTCTACCGAGTGATACTCGAATACTCGAGTACTGGTTGACATCCCTATTTGTAATGTTTAACTGGTTTAACCCAACCACTTTTTGTGCCTTTACTAAGTCAGGATATCTGGACATGTGTTGTTTGTCTTTGTTTGTTAGTCTTTATTAGAAGTTAGATGTTAGTGGTTGGTATGGTCTGTTACACTGTCCAATATTTTCAGTGATTCATGTTATCCTTTTTATGTAGTATTCACAGGAAAGACCACTTAAGTTTATGCTCACTAGTTTTCTTGGTAGATATTTATTCTATTCAGATTGTTGTTGAAAGCTATATGAACCATTCAGATTTCTGTTGCTATAAATTTTTACCAATACAAATCTTAATTGTTCAGATGAAGCAGCTTGGTTGAGAGGACATTAGTCTACCTGAAGTTTTAAGTAGCTTTGTAAAGGTTACTTTATCCTATATATACCTAAGGTTTTACCAGCTTGGTTGAAAGTCTTACCCTATATATGTTTTACTTTATATATTAAAACTATAAAACCACTGATCATTATTCAAACCCTCTATAATTTGGAGAAAAATAGATTTATTATTATTTCAAAATATCAAAATTTTTCAAAATTTGATCTCTAAATTTAGATATGAAAGCTGTTTCCAAATAAAGTCGTTTAAAAGGTTCAACTACAATCATTGGAGTAAAAACATCCGAAATTACATGATCTACATGTGAAACCATGTGCTGTAATCAGGTGGCTATACAAGCATCGCCATAAAGCCAAGCCAGTCATATATTGTAAAAGATGCAGGCATGTTCTTGACGATTGAACAGGTACATTATGTCAAAAGATTGATAATGGACAGGGCAGTTATGTGTAAAGAGTTCAGGTGTCTCAAGCTCAATTAGAGATACAAGGCATTGAAATGATCCATAAAATCAGGGAAGAAGATCCCAAGTGGGCAATAAAGAAATGTAAGTTAAAAAAAAACCAGATAGCACTACCATCGCCAAAAGAGAAAAGACTAACGATCGCCCGACAGCTTACAAAACACTGCACAGAAAATTTAAGATTGATTAACACTTAATCCATCAATAACGCCCATCACGTGAAAATGGGTTTTTGAAACATCATGTGTTCGCACCATAAGCAGACTGGTAAATTTCTCCTGTCAAACCTTAAGCCATTACCAAATTTATAAACCTTCGGTACAGATAAACTCTCTAACCCTAGTACATGATTAAGGAAAGTTTGCAATGGAAATCGAATTTCGGAATATATATAAAAATAAGGAGATGTGGTATGATTGCCAATGAGACAACTATCGACCAAAGTTCAAATGAAGCGGATGTAAGCAATTATAGGCAATCGTACAGCCTTCAACATGAAACAATTCAATAGAGAAAACTAGCGGCCTAATTTTTAACAAAACAATACACGAAAAACAAATATTACAGACATGAACATATGACGACCACTGAACTACAGGTTCCTGACTTCGGAAAAACAAATAAAGAATGTTTCCGGGTTAAACATGTTTGTGAGCGCTTAACCATCCACTAACCTCGGACAGTGGTGTTGCAGCACACAATAAGAACATAAAAATCCGTAACAATGGAATTAACTCTAAAGTTCGATACGGGGAAAAACAAACATAAAACAGTAGACACGAAGCACTGAAATAAGAGACATCACAGTTACTGAAAGCTTGTTCAAAGCCAATTACAACTAATAAATAAATCATGTTCTCTCAGACTAAAGTATCAATCAGTACATATTCAAAGGATTTAGTGTAAAAACGTCATAAATAGTCTGAGAAACGCATGACCTTGTGCAATGCCAAAATATAAGTAGACAGTATCGACAGGATGAAGGATAGTGAGTTTTCATAACTGTATATGTATAGCAATATATATTTAGTTATGTTTTAATTTTTCAAAAACACAAAATCAATGTTTGACAAATAAAAACAAAATTTAAAGATTTTACTATTGTATTAAATTGATAACCTCTAAGAGTAAGTTTATTCAAATAATCAATTAGTTTACATGGATTGTATCTAAATTCACGGGCTTTATAAACAACATCACCGTAAAATTAGGGGGTGATATCCTGTTTTTGATAAGAAGTCTACAGGTACCTGTTTATTACTCAATAGTTTACTATTTTAGGAATACCATCTCCTTTTGCATTTTGGGAAATCGATAATAGATAGAGAGAAATTATGAATACCGGTAGCAAAGATAAAATCTACAAAAAATCAACATAGCCGAAATATTCAACTGGCCGCTTATATGAGTTGTTGTCCTTTTGCCCATAATAGTATTTTTTGCAGAAACCCTATTTTTGCACTTTTTCAGAACCCATAATAATAGAGAAAAAATATCTACTGTGTGTTCTACTTTCAGTTTGATAAACATAAAAAAAAATAACATGAAAAATAATCAATAAAACGTTCGAAACGACACACTTGCGGTTGGATATAGAAAGTTGTGCGATTATATGTTGAAAAAGTAAACTTATTCATATTATCAGCTTTTGTTTTAAACAATGTCAGTTTCTTATATTTCCAACATACAATGGCATTTAATTTAGGGATTAACATTTCAAATGGAGTTGAAGCATACGGATATTTATAATACTTGTATGCATTGCCATTCCTTAATTCTCAATGACAAAATATAAAAAAAATCTGCTGTCAGCTTGTAAACATTATTTTTTGTAATGAATCAGGCATGTTTTATGAAAAGGCAGTTTTGTGAATGGCTCTCTTTGAACAATGTTGAACTTTTTCCTGTATATTGACTTTACAAAATATAGTTTTTCAGATCGAGAGGGATTGTATCTTATCTATATCATTATCAATATAAACATGGTTAACATAACAACAGTAAGCAATGCATATGATATAACAAAAAACATTTTGTCCAATATTTTAGACATCTGTTTACCAGGAAGGTCTTCATTATATAAAAAGTGTCGTCTACCAGCTACTTTTAGAACTAATTTATAACAGTTAGATATTTTCACTTTCTCTTCATAGAAAAATGCTGCTGATATAATAAGAAATATAATAATGATTCCACTGACAAATATGACTGCGATCATTGCAACTAACAAGTAACATATTGGGTTTGATGTAGCTGGTATCGACGATGACATTAGGGTTAGGAAAATGGCATACGATAACAAAATTGAAATCGCTAGAGACATACGTTCACCTGACTCTGTTGGTAGTAAAAAGACAAGAGGATTTAGAATACAGAAAAATACTGTAGGCAATATAATCATTATAACATAGTATAAAGGATTCCGTTTGATAGTTATCTTAACATGGTAGTTGTATCTATAATCAACATATGTCTTAGTGTTTATCAATTTCCAATCAGGGTTGTCTACATAATAATCAATTACCGCAGAATTTAGTTCATTGGACAAAATCAAAAGATTTGATTCTATCCCCCATGTTACAAAATACAAAATGCAAATTTGAACATCAAAGGGGAATCGGGAGACGTCAGTTTCACATTTTGTATCCATTACACCTCCAGGCACATAGATAACGGTTCCATCGTGATATATTACAATTACATACTCAATGTCCTCCCCAACAGACTTCATTTCACCTGGTGTATATAGCAGATATATAAGTGGTGTCCATATCTGAGCGGACGAAATATAAAGTTTATATTTGCCTCCATATAAAACAGGATCCCATGACAACGATGGATCTTTCCATTTCATTTGTAGTGCCGCTGTTACAATTATCCGTCCTTCCACCTCATTAAATGAATCAATTGCCAGCAAATAAAAATTAATTGAAATGTTTAAAGAATCAGTTTCATTTTGAATGGGTA